GTGTGTCTTGGGTCCCTTATGCCTGTTAACAATATGGGCCCTCAGCATTCCTTTCCTCATGCCACTCCTCTGCCTATGAGTGCCATCAGGTCCCCCTGGCTGCTAAGACCGAATCTGGTGTGTAGGGATTCAAGGAGCTACAGATCATTGCAGCCTGCCTCTCTGACCTTGACTTCCACCATTCCAACCATACCAGTTTCCTCCTTCCCTTCCTTCCCCTCCCAGAGCCAGCCTTTGTTATGGCCTCCGTCTGAGATCGCATCTCTTCTTTTCTCCTGTCTAGGTTCCAGATTCTCCTTGAAAATCCAGTTGAAAAAGACAGAACAAAACACAGAAGCATCCCTTCCTCCAGTGTGTCTAGCTTGTTCTTTCAAAAATGAAGATTGGGGGAAGGGGTTTGGAAATGCTGGTGCCGGAGTTTGAGTGCCAGCCCTGTCCTCCATTGACTCCTAGTGTCTAAGTTCCATGCACAGTCTGCTCACTGCTGTAGAAGACAAGAGTGATGATAAGAATAGTTTATGGAGGACTCTCTGGCACCGTGTCCATGCCACCAGCCACTGCCTATACAGCAACCCATTTAATCATCACAGTGTGCCCCTGATACCTGTGTTACTGCCTCTACTTTATAGATAAGGACAAATAAGTCCATAAAGATGAAATGTCTCAGCCATAGTCACAAACCATATGGAAACCCAGTCTCACACTCAGGGATGATGCTATAAAGCTGACCCTTTGTCCCAAGCTTGAAGTCACTGGACCTGTGCTGGTGGACACCTGGCTCCTTCCAGTGCTCTGTCCCACATAACTGCTGTTCTTGCTTTTCTGAGCAGAAAGGGTGGAAGGGTGGGAGGAAAAGGCCTGTAAAGACTTCCCATCTCAGGCACAGAGATGGGAAGTGCAGACACCTAGGGCCGTGCACAGCTGGAAAGGGTCTTGAAGACAAAGTGCAAAGGGCCTGGGTTCTGCCCTGGTGGGGGGGGGGCAGGCTGGTTCAGAGTCCAGGGAGCAGATAGAGAAGTTGAGCCAAGCCTTGAGGGCTGAAGACAAGGGCAGCAAGGACCAGACATACCCAAGCCCAGAATAGCACGAAGGTAGGCCTGCGGTGCTGGACATGCTTGACATAGCAAATGATTCAACTGCAAAGGACAGTAGAATCCAGATGATGGAGGGCTGCAAAGCCAGGCTAAGGACTCTGACCTTCAACAGAATACAATAGGGGAGTCATGGGAGGTGTGGAAGCAAGAGTGCGTTTCCCTCATCGCAGCAGTAAATGGGCACAGGTGGGTGTTCCATGTGGCCTAACTGGCTGCTCTGTCTTTCTTCTGTGTGTACTATGATCTTAATAGCCTGAGGCTACAGACACCACCAGCCAGGAGCTGAAGATCTTACAACTAGATTTTCTGACCTCCAATTAGCTTTCTTCCAGAAAAATGGAAAATGATTGAGCCTCTCTGAGCCTCAGTTTCTATCAAATGGGACAATGCAAGCTTGCAGGCCGTGAGAGTGAGGGGAAAGCAGGTGGCACAGCAGAGCAGGTCTGTTATCGAATCCTGTGACTGTGAGGATGAGATGGCCCAGAGGGCCACTCAGATGACCTGCACTGGGGTTCTAGCTTGGCCCCCACAACACCAATGTCTCTGTGTGGGTGGGAGACCTGGGAAGCATGCATGGCCTCTTAGCAGGGCCTATAGAGCAGGGCCACCATGCACCATGTTGCCTGTAAGGCACAGGGCGCCAGCCCTGGTTCTTTCTCCTACTGACTCTTGGGAGGCTGCAACAACTTCCTTAGCAACCCCTCAGGAGATGCCATGCTTAGCTCCATGCCACTCGCTGCTAAAACACCTCTGGCACACACACCCCACAACTTGTTCAAGTATGTACAGCAAGGACCCCACATCTGTTTGTAGCTCAGAGTCTGAGATTTAGGACATTTGCCCCCTCCCAGGGTTTTTTTGAGGACCAGATGGAATAAGGGGTGTGATTGGCCCAAGGATGGTGAAGGAAGTGCTATCTAGTCTCCTTTTACCTTCATTTGGAGAGAAGGAACAGATGCACAGGGAGGATGGCAGGTTCCCAGGTCACAACAAACCATTAGCAGACCAGTGCTCGAGGTCCCCAGAACAACTATGTGCCCTTGCCACCCTTCCACGGGGACTTTCCCCCTACAGTGGAAACTCCCACAGTCAGGGAGAGCAAACGCCAGGACTTTCTGCCTTGGCATGAAAACTGGTACCTGGGGTTGGAGGCTGCAATCCAAGGTAAGAGACCCACAGGGCTCCTCTAGCCCTTCTGGCTACTCTAGGCCACCATGAGTACCTTGCTCCCCTTTGATCCCATCAGTCATCTAGAGGGACATCCAGAGGAACCAGTGTCACCTAACACTGAGTCAGTGAGGCAACCGAAAGGTAGGAACGATTGTGGCAGCTGCAGTGAACAATCAGAAAGCTAGAGAAGGCTAGAGTGGGAGGAAGTGGGCCACTGCTTCAGCTGCTCAAGTTCACAACTCTTTCTTACTATCAAAATCCACAGTGCCCTCCCCTCCACCCATACCCACCGGTCACCATACCCGCCAGTCACCATACCCACCGGTCACCATACCCACCGGTCACCATACCCACCGGTCACCATACCCACCAGTCACCCGCAGGCTCCAGAGGCTGACATGGACCAAGGAGGGCTGAGATAGGGCATAGCAAAAGCAGCCTAGCAGCAGATGCTCAGTAAATGCCAAAAGCATCAAGAGGAATTAACCCAACAGCTGTTTGGTGAATGGTGACCAAGCCACAGACACCACGCACCCCTACATGCCCCCTCCAACTGCCTCTGGATGACCACCGCTGCTTTCTCATCACAGTGTAGCTTTCCCCAGGCTCTTCCCCTTCCTGGGTAGTGGATCACAGTCTGTTTTTGACACTGCCTGATCTGGAGCCAAACTTGCTCCCTGACAGCTGCCTGACAGAAGCCCTGATCTCCCAGGGTATCGTTTCTTGCCAAGATTGGTGCCCCAGGTTGCTCCCTACCCATGCCACAAGCTGGCTTTGAGTGAGTGACTGTACTCCTCAGCAGAAACATTGGTGTATGTGGGCTCATCCCGGGCAGCCCAGGAACGTGGTCTTCTCACTGCACACCTGTGAGGTGTGTCACATAGGTCGGGGAGCCACCTGTAGATCCCCCATCTGTAGGGAAGACAGAGCTAACCTTCCTTTGCCCCATGGCTGGCAGCTGAAGGCTCTTGGTGTCTGAAACCTCTGCAGCTATGACTCTGGGCGGGGGGGGGGGCACTCCCCCACACAGCTGTCCCACATGGCCACACCGCTGTGTCTGCTGCCCTCTTCTCAGAAAGGCCCCTCGGTGCCAGCCAGGCGTGAAGCCTCATTTTATTCTGCCTGAAGGGAATGGGCAGTTTCACAGAAAAGAATTTACAGACAACTAAAGGTGACCTTTTAATGTTGAAAACGTTTTTATTTCAGCCCTTGGTGCTGCTGGCTCGGCTCTGTCTGATGTGGGGCACAGACATCCCTGCCTGGACCAGCAGTACACAGCAGCCTGCTCCATTCACCTCACCCATGGCTGGGAGCCGAGCAGGGACACCTTGTCTGTGACACATCAGTAGAGAGGAGGTGCCTGGTGGAGGCATCACTGAAGAGGTAGAAATGCCCCGGAAGGCGGGAGGGTGCAGTGTGTCTTCACTCAGTATAAGCGGTGTCACTTTCCCTTGTCTGGGACCTCCAACCTTCACCCAGCATCCTGCTCCTAGATGTGTATGGATCTGGCCGGAGGAGGTAGCAGCACCCACCTCTCTGTGTCTCCCTCAGTCCTGGGCTAAGAGCAGAGGGCTTTGCCCGTTCTGCAGGCTGGGGTGACTCTGCTCCTATTCCAGCTTCTGCTCTGTGATCTCTCCCCAACTTACAAGAGAGCAAGTTCACGAGATTGTGAGCCCTTTGGAGCTCAAGGACCAGTGTCTCTTTCCAAGCTGAGTGCCTGGCACATAGCAGATGTTCAGGAAATGCTAAGGGCATCAAGTGGAATTAACCCAGAAGCTGGATGTTGCACACTCAAAGGCAGTACAAGTGTGTTCTGCAAGCTGCTGCTGGGTTCTTTGGGCTGCTTTTTACCTGGTTTTGTGGCTGTCCAGAAGCCCTTTAGGAAAGTGAGTGACAGAGACTAAGAAGCCGTCGTACTTGTCAAAATTGGGGAGGGTGACATTATCTGCAAAGGTTCCCCTGGAAACTATGGTGAATGAGGCTAAGAAGTTGTTCCATGGTAGTGGCAAACAACAGGCCACAGACATGGATGTCCAAGCCCCAGAAAGAACATTTTCATCTAGGACTTGGGATGCCAGGAAAGCTGGCAGAAGATCACTTAGGTAGGGATATAGGAATGAGTGAATTTCCCCAGCACAGCCGAAGAAGACAGCTCAAGCAAGGGCATGGGCATGAGCTAATGACAACTACAGGAACTGGAGAGACAAGAAAGCTGTCCAGAGGTCAAGTTAGATCAGCAGAGGTCAGCCACAGAGGGTCACAGAACCCAGAGCAGGGAAACTGCTAAAGAAACTGAGCAGAGAGACCTCATCAGCTCTGAGTAGGGTAAGTCAAACTACCCACCAGAAGACCAAGCAAACCTCAGTAGGCAGAGGGCCCTGAGAGACCTTCGTGAAGAAGCAGGGGCCCTGGGTAGCACCACAGAAGGGTCCAATCAGAGGCCATCATTAGGAGATGGGAAGGACTTCTGAGGGTCTGGCTGTAACATAGGACCTCAGAAAGACCACACTACCTGCAGGTCAGCAGAACAAGCTACAACCAGAAGCATGTGCTCACTGGGGTGGGGGGTTTGATCTCTGCCCCCCATGTGTGTTCTTTTCACTTTCCAATATGCTTCAGCTCACTGCCTCACTTGACAGTCCATAGAACCCTGTTTGGGAGATGGAAAACTGAGGCCTTGTGAGGTCACATGAAGAGAGCAGTGCTGTCAGGCTAGACCCAGGAAGCAGTTTCATCTCAGCCCTGGACATCAGGCTCGAAGCCCAACTCTTTGTCAGGGAGGGGGTCCCCGGGGCTGTCTGGTAGCCCATAGTATAGGTCTTCCTCCTCCTGCTCAGGTTCCTCTGCACTTGCCTGGGTAGTCTCCTTCTCCTTCATCCTCAGGGACCACTGCTGCTTGCTGGGCAGAGCTGCCTTCTGCACCTGCCCCTCCAGGACCATGTCCTCTGATGTTGGGGTGTCATCAATAAGAGCAAAGTCACTGAAGCGATCCAGTGGACCCATGCTGGCCCAGGGCACCTGTGGGTGTGGCTCCTCTCTGTTGGGTGGGGATGGGTGAGGGCTGCTGCCTTCACTGGAGCCCATGTCCAGGTCGTCTTGGAATGACGCCAGGGGTGCAGAACCTTGGGAACACGCTGGAGGGCTGCAGAGTCAAATAGCGCAGGTGAAGAAGGGAAGACCCAGAGTCACATTGTCTGGGTCCAGATCCCAGCCACTAGCTGCAGTAAGTTCATATATATCTGGACCTCCTTCCCCACCCCACCCCACTCCCGAAACTGGGGCAATGTGAATCCTCTCCCATGTGGTGGTTTCTGAAATTTACAGCATGTAAAAATGTTCACAGCTCTTCACACAGTGCCTGGCACAGTGTAGGTGCCCAAGAAACGGGTATGCTATTTCAAACAAAAAATAGCAAAACCAAAACAACCTGCCTAGCGGCTCATCCACAACTGCAGGCATTCAGGATCCTTTTCTGGTCCCTCACAGTCCATTCACACTGCCTGTCCCTCTGTGCCCACCCCACCCTACCCCAGGAGACTAGGAACTCAGGAAACTGGAGGCCAGTCATGGCCTGAGAATGTCTAGTAATGACTGAACCTGTAGAGGGTAGATCGGTCAGAGACTTGACTTGAAAATAAACGGGAACTGGGCTATGGCAGGTACTAAAACTGACCAGAGATACTGAACAGGGCAACAGACCAGCCAGGCTTGAAAGTCCAGCCCTCTGGCTCCTGGCCTTCTGTTGCTCATGACAAACATTTAGAAAAGGAAGAACTGTGCTGGGCACTTAGACATTATCCTTGTGTGATGGAAATGGCTGTTCTCCTGAGAGAAACTGCTCAGCAGAGTCCAAAACCACCACAGTCATACAGCCAAGGAGTCGAGATCAGCACCGAAGTCCGTTAGAGCCCCAGGCCAACTTCATTTACCTGTGTCACTCACCCTCTGCTGCCTGCTCCTCACTCCCAAGTGTCCCAGACACCCTCTTGGCACACAGCACACACACACCCCCACACACACTTGCCCTAGAACTGGGCAGCCCTTCCACTGCTATGCCACCCACTCACCTGCTCTGAGTACCGGGTCTTTCTCCCTCCTTCTCATCCAAACCCCTATGGACAACTACTGCAGCTTCCATCCAGGCCTGAGCAGTGTGAGGCTCGCCTTCCCCACCACTGCTGACTCCTGTCTTCGGCTCCGGGGCCAGCAAGGGCCTGGGATCCTCACTATAGCCCAAGACCTTCATTTGGATGTGTGTGAAGTCTGGAAGGCTCTGATCGTAGGCGGCTTCTTCCCACAGCCTGACATAAGGGGGTTGGGGACTGGGTCCAACAGACAGTGGGAGAGAAGTCAGGCAGGTAGGCATGAGTTCCCTTACCATGCCACCCCCCGATCTGCTATGGGGGTGTGGACCCACCAATTTCAAAAGAAACATTTCAGGGGCATCACTGTTCCCAGGCTACAGATGGTGAGGCTGAGGCCCAACTAAGTGTACAAAGCTCTGGCCTGATCCCAAGTCAACATCACAATGTCTCAAAAGGAACCCACAGCATGTAATGGTTAAGATGGAGAGGACTCGGCATGAAGGCTTGCTGAAGCACACCCCAACACAGCAATCACAGCTCTGATGCTTAGCAGAATGAGCCACAGCTGTTCCTAGACTTCTTGCCTGCAAGCTGGGAAGTGATTGCCCCTACACTCCCTGTAACTCCAGGAGGTACTGGGAGGAAACTGAGGCACAGCAACTGAAACTGTGATAGGATAACACAGACCCTGATTAGTGGATCAGGGTCATAGTGATCTGTTCTCTGTCACTGTGCTTCAGAGACTAGGCCCTTGTCCAAGGTCACATGACTGGGAGGTGACAAGGCAAAGGAAGGAACCCCAGGTGACCTGAGCTACGTTATAGACCCTAAGATAGAGTTTGGGGTGGCTCTGACCACCAGAGTGTGTCCGCTGTTTCCCACTGGGGCACTTCACCCTGTGTATCAGGAATGGAAAATGCCAGCATTACAGACTACCTCAAGCAAAGCAGAGAGGCTCTGAGTCCCATAGCTCCGGGACTTTGGAGCTTAGGAGTCACAGCTCAGGGGATTAGCAAAAGCCAACGGGTTCTTGGCTCTGCGCAGGGTTTGACACCTCCATGGCTTCATCAGGCCAGTTTTCAGACCTGTCTCCAGCACTGACTCCCTATAAGATCCAAGGTTTGTGTTTCTCAGACCCTCAGAGTCAACATCTATAAAACGGGAATGGCAATGTTAACGCACAAAACAGAGAGATTGAAACTACCTGTGATTTCTAAGAGTGTGTTCTCAGAAAATGGGTGTGGATGGGACAGAGACACCCAACCCAGCTATCCTGCCCCCTCCTTACCTCTTCCCTTGTTCCCCTCCTCCCTGCTTTTGACAGGAGGCTGGACTGAGGGCCCATTCCACCTGCCCTTACCTCTTCACCTCTGAAAGGCTGCTCTCCAGCAGGCTCAGGGCCTTTGGGGACAAGATGCCTTGAAAGTCTGTGTCTGCCGGCACAAAGGTGATCTGCAAGGAAAGAGGATATCATCTCTGTAAGTGACCAGGGATAGGGCTGGCTGTTGTCACACACCCTGGCTGCTGAGCCGGGAGCTGCTGCAACCTTCTCTGCAGATTGTAGGAGAGGACTTGATAGGGCCTCAGGATCAACCCCAGTGGGTAGAGAGATATCTAGGTCCCTGTCCACACTATGTTCTCCCTTTACTGGACAATCCTCTGAGAACCTGCCCTGTGCAGACAGCATCTGGGCACTGGGGACAGAAGTGGGTAAGAGAGATGCCCTGCCTTGGAGCCCAGGCCGACCACTT